CCTTCCTGCCTTCTCACCTTTGCTTTTGGGCAGGTGTTGCCCATCTGATCTTGTATACTTGATTGAACTAAGAAGGGCATTCCTCACATGTGGTATTGTTTATTTTATAGGTCTGTCTAATCTTCGGCTGAAAGGTGGACTTCAGAGTGGCTTCAATTCTGAGTTAGCAGGGTGTCTGGGAGACCACTGTCTCTGGGGTTCCTCCAGTCTCTGTCAGACCACTAAGTCTAGTCTTTTTTTCTAAATTTGAATTTTGTCCTATATTTTTCTCCCACTCAGTCCAGGACCCTCTATTTTGATCCCTGTCAAGTATTTACTCCTTGGACTGGATTTTAAAAAGAAACAAAGAGAGATGACTAGGGTCATCATTTTTATGTGGTTGAAATTAATTCTTTAGATCAATTGTTTCATCAGGAAACACAAAAAACTTTCATGTGTCACTGCTATTTAGAGCAAATAATCCCGGTTATCTTCATAATTTAAAATACTTGATAAAAGGGTATGTCTGAGGGTACTTTGGTAGCGAAACAAACTATTTTTTGCTGCCATCAGTGACTAGATAATTGTCTTCCTGTTTATTTCAATTCCCAGTGTGTATTTAGAGTCTCTGGAAGCACCCTTTAGTCAGACCAAATACTGAAAACGAAGAAACTTGGGGACAGTGGTTTTCAGGGAATCTTGAAGCAGCATAAAATAGAGATAATAAAAGAAAATTAAAGATTATTTCTTAAGCTTTATGACACTTACTCATCTGTGTTCCTGCCTCTTGTACTTTCTTTCACCCCACTATTTTCTACGTGTTTCTCCAAGTAGGTCTTTGGAGGGAACTCTTTTCATTTCTACAGTTATAGACTCAAGTAGACTACTTGTCACTGGCTGGGCATGGAAAGGGCAAAGAAAAGCTGGTCCTCCCTCCTTTCTGCCCCCTTCTAGATGCCTTTTACTCACTTACTCCCGTTCTCCTCCTGTCTCCCCTAGAGCTTCTGGGCTGTATAGATACCTCATTTACCATTACCCTTTATCCTCCCATGTAACTCCCACCTGGGATTGCCAGATTTAGCAAATACAAGTCACCCAGTTAAATTTGAATTTCAGATAAACTACAAATATTATTAGTATAAGCATGTCCTGAAATATTTAGGACATACTTACACTAAAAAACTATTATTTATCTGAAATTCAAACTTCAGTGGGCATCCTGTATTTTATCGAGCTTCCCTACTTCCACTCTATGGGCTACAGGAGGCTCCAGCAGCTGCTGGGCTCCTCTTACTCAGAACTGTGCTTAAGTCCCAGCCCTAAAAGAATACCCAAATCTGAATACTACACTTTCATCACAGTGGTCTGTGTTCCTATACTCCCTCCCCGCTCTGCTCTTTCCCACAGGATTCCCTTAGATATTTTTCACTCTGTGGATCCTGAATTGCCAAAGGATGGGCAAAATGCCAGATCTGGACTCCATTTAACTTGTCCTCAATTCCTGATAATTTGGATTTTTAGCAAATGAAGATTCACAGTGATGGACCAGAATTGAGGTGACTAATAATACACCTTTCCTTTCCATTCCTGCTTTAGAAAGGTGCTCCCAGGAAAAAGAGATCTAATTTAAACACGTATGATGCATTTTATAGTACCTTAGGACAGTTTAAAAAGTAAGACGCCTGGTAGAGGACCAAGGAAGCAGTAATGACATTTAAGTGCAAATCCGAAGAGAAAAAAAAAAATTAATAGGAAGAACAAGGCCCCTCATGAGAGTTAGTACCAAAGGAGAATAAGCTCAGGCTTCTCTCGAGAGATTTTCTCTTGCATTGGGTCAGAGAACAGCAAGAGGAAAAGATAGTAGAAATTCCAGGAGAATGACAGAGAGAAGCACAATGCATTTTGGAACTATTTTTAAGTGCAGAGTTGATGCCCTTTCAAAGCCTTTATCTTACATAATTGATTGACTTTAAACACACACTTTACCAGTCCAGAGCACAGTTTTTTAAAGAATTTTTTCTTCCCATTGTTTCTGGGATCCTGTTTCACTGGTAGCTTTTTTTTCACTCAGGTGATTAGAATGAAAATGAGCAGTACAAGTGCCGGGTGCCAGCTGCCTTTGTGCAGAGAATCCCTGCTCTCCCCAGGGTCATTGTGTCCGTGGGATCTCCTCTGAGCAGCCTCAGAACAGCTCCTTCCACTCCTGGGCAAAGGACAGATGCACCTCAATTTACTTTGAGCACAAATTGGGGTTTTGTTTCTAAACGGTATTAAAGAGTTCAAAATAATGTTGTAATTTCCCTACTAAAATTTTCTACATCGGTAAGCCGTTCTGGAAACTTGGGCCCGAAAAACAGATGCTCCCTGTTCCCTTCCTCTCACTCTTTCTTTCCTTTAAGTGGCTGACAACAAAGTTTCTACGTACTAGATGCTCTACCATTCGGTCTAAGTTTTTATGAATCACTCTAGCCTAAGCCACAATGTCTAGTAGAAGAAAGAATACTTGACTAGAAATCAGAAGAGGTGAGTAATGGTTGAAATGTCCCCACTAACTAGCTGTGCGATCCAGGAGAACCACTTCATCTTTCTGGGTCTGTTCTTCATCTATTAAATGAGAGTGCTGAACTTTACGTTCTCCAGCATTTCCTCCTGCTCTGAAGTTCTGCAGTTCTTCTTGTATCCTGCCCCACCTCTATGTACTTCTTCTGAGGAAGTTGCATTAAAGCTTTTAGCCAAGCTTAACAAATGCTTTTAAATTTTCTTCTTAAAACAGGATACTTCCTTTAAAAAAAAACAAAACAAACTTAGCTTGCTGAAAACAGTTTTCTAAGTATGGAGTTTCTGAAATTTAGAAAATAAGCAGATTTGACTTCTGAGATCTTTCTGAATGTCAGCATCATTCAGTGCTCTAAATTTATCAGACTCTGCTGGAAAGCTCTCTGGTATAGTCCCCAGTAAATGGGTAAGAAGTATATAATGAAACATGCTATTTTTCCTGCATTGTACTATAACTGCCTGTTCTCTAATTCCTTCCCAATTGATATCTGTAAAAAAATTTTTTTCACATGACATAGAAAATGCCAAGAATAACATAAATATTGCTCAAAATTTTACCATCCCAGATACCACTGTTATTCTGTGGTGCATAATACACACTCTATTTATATACATGTTGTTATGGATTGAATTGTGTCCCCCCAGAAACATGTGTTGTAAATCCTAATCCCTATACCTGTGGATGTAATATCATTTGGGAATAGGGTTTTTATTTGTTATGTCAGTGTATGGTGTGTCTTAAGCCAATAACTTTTGAGATATAAAAACAGCATTTAGGCATAGACGGAAGCAAGCACAAATAGGGGAAGATAGATGCCATCCCACATGAAGATCGTCAAGGAACAGAAGCTGAAGAGACAAAGACCTTCCCCAAGAGCTGACAGAGAAAGAAGGCCTTCCCCTAGAGCTGGTGTCTTGAATTTGGACTTCTAGCATTCAACTGTGAGAAAATAAATTTTTGTTCGTTAAGGCCACTCACTTGTGGTACTTCTGTTATAGCAGCACTAGATAACTAAGACACATGTATATAATTTTATGTAAATGAGGTTATTTATTTCATGTAAATAATTTTTTATACTAATATATTTGATTAAGTTTTATTGTCATAAAAGTAAAAGCATCAATTTTAAGTGTTTATTATGATGAATTTTGATTAATATGTATATATACCTGTGTAACCATCACCCAGATCAATATATAGAACTTTCCATCACCCTAGAAAGTTCTGTTGTGCTCCTTTCCTCAGGCAATCACTATTGATTTTTTTTTTTACTATAGTTTTGCCTGTTCTTGAAAATTAAACCATACAATATATACTCACTTGTAATTTTTTTTTTGTTTATATGCTTTTGAGATCCACCCAAGTGATTGCATATGGCAGTAATTTGTTTGTTACACTGATGACTAGTATTCCACTGTGATGAATATATTACAGTTTATTTATTAACCTTTCGATGGATGCTTGGGTTATAGCCAGCTTTTGGCTATCTGAAGAAAGCTATGAACTCTACTCTTAGTATAAGAGTATACTTATCTGTATAAGAAAACATGCTAACATAAGATTGTGTTACCTACATGAAATGAGAACAAAATCTGATTGCCCATTGGCAGGAGAATGAATAAATAAAGTGGAATGAATAAAACTGAATACTATACAACAATGAAAATAAGGTACTTGTTATTCATACCATAGACTATTTAGGGATATATATGTGTATAACAAAATTTTGAAGACAAGAGAATGATAACCACAAACTTCACAAAAGTGGTTACTTTTGTATCATTTTAACTTCTGTCAGTTTTTCATGAGTAAAAAATATATCACAATTTTTATGGGATTTTTTGCCTTAAAAATTACAAAGGATGTGGACACACTGCTTTCTTAGAGATGAAAGGCTTTCTAATATAAAAACTGGAATTTTGAAATTATTATAAATGACGTTGTCTTGTCTAAATGACCCTCTCTACATATTCCTAGATCTGGTGACCGAAGATGGGAACAGGCATAGAAAGTAAAAGAATACTTTCTTGGAGAAACTGAAGATCAAAATGAATGATCTGAACAAGAGGGGCACAACTGTGGTGAGCAATAAGAAAGGAATACATCAGATGACCACAGCTAAGTCAGACAGACAAGGCCCCAAAGGGGAAAGACACTGGAGGAAGCTTTCTCTGAGGAAGATGCAGCAGGGCATGGAGACTCACGGGATTCAGAAGAGAGCCTGTGTGAGGAAAGAACTGTCATAAAGGGTTGCAAACATGAATATTCTGAGCGGAAATCAAGGGCACAGGTGTCAGCTGGCTAGCAAGGAGGTAAAACAGAGAGGCGACTATTAATCGTTTTGCTAAACTAAGTCAAAATGAAAAAAAAATTAATAGTGTACACACACACACACAAACCAGTATAGGAAAGGGATTACACAATCATGAAGAAATGTTTATAGTCTAAATAGAAGGAATTGCTCCCTTTCTTCCAACTCAAATCATTGGGTGATAAGTAACTAAAAGTTACTGGTAAGCCTTTGGTATCTTGATCAGTTTATCACAGAGGACCCTTCAGTGTGGGTAGGTGATGACATGTAGATAATGAGAGGATGCCAGAGATGGGTGAAGCGGTTTAGAAACAACGTGAGTAGCCCAGAGCCAGATGGACTGGTTCTGCTTCGGTGGCCGTGGAAAGTGAGGCCAGAGTAGCAAAATGGATACCAGGAGCCCTACTTGTTGCCTAACTAAGTGGAATAGCTGGCTCAACAGGAGAAAGGTAGGCTTCACTCTGCACTGAGTTCCCCAACTCTAGATAAACATGTGAAAACGAATGTTAGGGGGAAAATGTGCAACTGGTTATGAAAAGATCTTGTATTTCATTTAATTGAAAAAACCAATTTGTTGACATACAGACCAAATGGACCAAACAGTGTTAACAGAATCATTTTATCTTCAGGACACAGGTAATACCCCAAACAAGCATCAACTTTAGAGCTCTGCTGCCAACCAGGAGGGCATTTAAACACAAACTTAGCCTAGAGGGTAAGCGTCTTTATGTCTTTCGGCGAAGGCAAAGCCATTTGTTTGGCACTTCATAGGAGTATCTTTCCACCAGGTCTTCATCAAATGGTATATGCCACGAGTCTCCAGTTGTTTGCACCACTGTGTCATAGCTGAGAATATGCTGTTGAATTAAAAAGGGAAACAGACATTGAGAATAACATGATCGGGTTACCTGGCCATTTCCCTTTCTCTTCTGACAATTTCTCAGTTTGCTTCAGAGGCATATTCCCTCACTTACTTCACAATGGATTTTTAAAGAGAAGCTAGCTCTGCAAAGATGAACCCTGGTATTAAGAGTTCCTTCTTTTTGGGTTGCATTTTTAAAGTTAAGAACTCTCTAGAGAAGCATTACATTTACAGGATACAGAATTCCTTTTGTCACTTCTATTGGTTTTGTGTGTGTGAGAAAAAAATAGAGAGAGAAAAATTTCAAATATACAAAAGTAGAGAAATAGTATAATGAACTCTGATGTACCCATCACCCAGCTTCAACCATTATCAACTCATGGTTGATCTTATTTACCACCCACTTCCTTGCCTCCTCCTACACCCAAGATTATTTTGAAGCAAATCATAGATATTATATCATTTCTTCTGTAAATATTTCAGTATGCATCTCTAAAAGATAAGGACTCTTATTTTTAAATGTAACACCACTACCAATATTACATTTACAAATTAATAACAATTCCTTAACAACATTAACATTTCCCCAATTATTATATGTATGTGTGTGTATATTTTACAGTTTTGTTTGAATCGGAACTGAAATAAAGTTATTACATTATGACTGAGTGAAATATTTCTTAGTTTTCTTTTAATCTAGGGATTTCCTTTCCATCGGTATTTTTCTTTCAATTGTTGTTGTTAAAGAAACCAGGTCAGTTGACCTGTTTCCCAGAGTCTTCCCTGTCTTTATTTTACTGAGTGCATCTCTAGGGTATCATTTGATACCATACTGCCTGTACATCTGTTGTTTTGCATATTTTTTGACCATTTAACTATATTTTAACAGAGGCCAGTGTGTTTTTCTGTGATAACTCGCCCTTGGATTTTCTTCCGTTGCTATCACACAAGAGGCTGCTAACCAAAAGTGGTTCAAATCCACCAGCTGCTCCACAGGAGAAAGATGTGACAGTCTGCTTCCATAAAGATTTACAACCTTGGAAATCAGTTTCCAATGGGGCAATTCTACTCTGTCCTATAGTGTCACTATGGGTCAGAATCGACTCCATGGCAACGGGTTTGATTTAAACTAGAATATTAGTCAGAATCAACACAACTGCAGGGGGTTTAAACTAGAATAAAGGAGCCCTGGTGGCTCACCTGCTAACGGAAAGGTTGGTGGTTCAAACTTACCAGCTGCTCTGTGGAAGAAAAGACTTGGCAATCTGCTCCTGTAAAGATTACAGCATAGGAAACCCTACAGGGGCAGTTCTACTCTGTCCTATTGGGTCTCTATGAGTCGAAATTGACTTGATGGCACACAACAACACAAACTAGGATAAAGGAACCCTAGTGGTGCAACAGTTAAGTGCTCGGCTGCTAACCAAAAGGTCGGCAGTTCCAACACACCAGCCACTCCACAGGAGAAAAGACCTGGTGATCTGCTCCCATAAAGATTATAGCCTAGGAAACCCTATGGGGCACTTCTACTCTGTCATATAGGGTCACTATGAGTTGGAAGTGACTCAATGGCACATAATACCACCACAAACTCAAATAAAGGAGCCTTGGTGGTGTAACAGTTAAGCGCTCAGCTGCCAACAAAAGGTTGGCAGTTTGAACTTACCAGCCCCTCCGCAGGAGAAAAGATCTGGTAATCTGCTCCTGTAAAGATTATAGTCAAGGAAACCCTATGGGGCAGTTCTACTCTGTCATACAGGGTCGCTGTGAGTTGAATCAACTCAACGGCACACAACAACAACAAACTGAAATCAAAGGAGAACTCAATTAAGACCCACATCATAGAAGTCGATTAAACAGGGAAAAGGAGTTACTTAGCAGAAGTTAAAAAGCAAAAATTTTGTTAAAAAGCGAAGATGTCATTTTGAGGACTATGGCGGACCTGATCCAAGCCATGGTGTTTTTAATCGCCTCTTATGTATGGAAAGCTGGACAATGAATAAGGAAGACCAAAGAAGATCTGATGCATTTGAATCACAGTGTTGGCGAAGAATATTGAACATACCATGGACTGCCAGAAGAACGAACAAATCTGTCTTGGAAAGTACAGCCAGATTCTCCTTAGAAGCAAGGATGGCGAGACTTTGTCTCATGTACCGAGGACATTGCTATCAGGAGGGACCGGTCCCGGGAGAAGGACACCATGCTTGGTAGAGGGTCAGTGGAAAAGAGGAAGACCCTCAACGAGATGGATTGTCACAGTGGCTGCAACAATGGGCTCAAACAGCAACGACTGTGAGGATGGTGCAGGACCAGGCAGTGTTTCGTTCTGTTGTACATAGGGTTGCTATGAGTCAGAACTGACCCAACGGCACCTAACAACAGCAGCAGCAGCAGCAGTAGAAGATTATGACAAACCATAAAGGATAAGCAATTATGAGCTGTTGCAAATAAACTGGGGGTGGGGGGGACTCATATTAGAAGTCATAACTGATGACATAATTGAAATCACAACTGATGACATCCCAGGTGTTTGCAATATATCAACTCAGTTGAGGTTTGCCTGTGAAACCTTCTGCTATGGCAGAGACTCAGTTTCTAAGAACTATCTATTTCCAAACACCAAACTAAAATCGAGAAAAATAAAATGTTCAGAATCTTCAACTAGCTTAGCTGCAACATTCTTTTGCTATGCCACATTCTTACTATTACTTTACTCTGTTGACATTATGCAGAGAACAGATAACATACCTGAAAGGATATTTTTGATCCTGGAAACCTACTAATAATTGCCAGCTGATGTCCTTGCTGCCATTTAAAGAACAGGCGTTGGGTCTTGGCGTCAGGCAGACAAGCTTTGTGGTCCCGCATCAGGTCTTTTGTGATAAACTTGCAGTGGTTCCCTGAGTGCAGTGTGGCATACAGAAGGAACGGATCATCCTTTGAGCTGAGCCAAGCATAAAGAAAGGATATGATCAAGCAAAGCCCTGAGGAGGCAGAGAGTAGCATTTGTCTCCATGCCTTTTATTCTCCTATTTTCTTCAGTGGTGCTCTGAATGCTCGACAGACATGCTCTCAGTGCTATTTATGACTCACCTGGAAGTCCTTAGTGGGTAGAACACAGATGGAGAGCTGAAGGAAGGGAATGCTAATGCATGAGGCTCTAACAGCTCAACTGGGTTCGCCCACTGGAATGAAGAATTCTCAAAATTCTTTCTTCACATTCAAAAGTTAGTTCTCTGTGTTCCCAGTGAAATTTTCCCATTTGCCACATCCACTGCAGGGGCACATCTTTTTACCCCTTTCCTCACCCAAATTAAAAAAAAAAAAAATCATCCAAAATACTACTAAGGCCAGATGACACTTTCTTCTCAAGCCATCAAATAACTTGGCTGACCACAAAGCTGAAACTGGTATCTCAAAGCAGCTTTTGGGCAGTCACCGGGATCAGCACCTGAAAGCATCTTTGGCTTTGAGAAAAGCCAGCAACTCAGAGTCTCCAGCACTGCCCTCAACATCAGCACTTACCATCTGAGTATATGTGCTACACAAATAGCAGTAACTATCTATCTTGGCCCAGGAGGATTTGGACTGCAACATGTCATATGCTTTATGCCTGGATTCAAATTACCCAAAGTAGGACTAAGTAAAGTTCATGTCATACTGAAGTATTTCAAGTAAAATGATAAAATGACTGGAATCTACCTTAAAATTTTCCAGGAAGAAAACAGCGGGGGATTATATGAAATAAGATTAGCAAAATGCTGGTAATTGTTGGAGGTGGATGACAGTTACATGGGGCTCACTATACTATTCTACTTCAGTGTATGTTTGAAAGGCTTCTTATCGTACATTAGTGGAAGATAGAGTTAATGTTGTTATAAATTTAAATAGTCAAATCCAAAGCCATAGAAAATCATTGAATCACCTTTACAACTCTGGAGCTTTAGCTGGTGCAATAAAAACAGAACCCAAACCAAGCAATGAGGCCAGTTTCCAACAGGCTTCTTGGTTATAACTCTTTGCAATTTATCCAACTCTTCCATCTAAGAATAATAATGACGATGATAGCAACTAACATATATGTTTACCATGTATTTGGTGCTGTGCTAAGAATTTGACATGTGTTATTTACACAAAGGTCAGTGGTTCAAACCCACCAGCTGCTCCACAGGAGAAAGATGTGGCAGTCTGCTTCAAATAAGATTGCAGCCTTGGAAACCCTATGGGGCAGTTCTATTCTGTGCCGCTGGGTTGCTATGAGTCAGAACTGACTTGACGGCAATGTGTATTTACATATATTATCTCATTTAATATTCCTAACAATCCCATGGAGATTGATGTGTGAAGAAAAGGAGACACCTTCCTGGATAGGAAGTGGCAGGGCCATGATCTGAACCTAGGTAGACTAATTTCTAATCCTATTCTCCTAATGCCAACCCAGTGTTGCCTAAAGTGATTACACAAAAAGCATTACTATTGTCTTCTACTCTTGGAGAAATGGAAACACCCTCTCCTCTGAGTAAATAAAATAAAAAGACTTAGCTAAAGTATAAAAAGGATCTGGTTTGGGATCTGGATGAGGGGTTAGCTTCATGCTCATGCATGAAAGCCATTTTACCCTTTTTTTAAGAATAAATGATTTTGGGAATGCTGACACATCTTGACACTATCACATTCAAACTAACGAAACCTAGATTTGGGGTCTGAGGCACACACGTTCATTATCCACGCAAAGTCGGAAATAAATTTTTGTCAGCAAAAGTAGTATGAAAAACTAAATGCACGTTAAAAGTTGATATGGGTTGTTGATGATCTGTGCTTCTCCTGATTAGCTGGCTTTTCTTTATGGACACTGTAAATTTTCTTATTAACCAAGTTTTCCATGTTCCTTTGGTTTCAAGGGAAGGTCAGAGTCAAATATGCAGCTCAGAGCAACTTTCTCTTTATATTTAGAATAAAATCCAGGCCCCTTGCCTGCTTACCAGGCCCATGAGGTGCCGTGTAATGTGGTCTCTGTCTTCTCTCTGACCTCAGAACCTACCACTTTCTCTCCTGTTGCTATACGCTATCCACACTGGCCTTCTTGCTGTTCCTCAAATATGCCAAGCTCACTCCTGCCTCAGGGTTTTTTGAATACTGCTGTTCCCTCTATCTGCTATGTTCTTCCCCTCCCCCTTCTTCAAATGGTCACTCCTTCCCATCAGAAATGCCTTTCCTGATCACCTCATCCACTACCCTCTGACCTACCCCCTAAAGAATCCCTCTTTTTCTATCTACTTACTCTGCTTTATTGTTTTCATAGCATTGATCACTGTCTGAAATTATATTATGTATTTATTTGTTTACCTGTTTACTGTAAGTCACAAGAGGGTAGGGACTTTGTCTTGTTTACTACTGTTCCTCCAGAACACAGAAGGTGCTCATATTTGTTGTTTGGTGAATGACCGATTTAGGACCTATGGCACGCATTATTTACTAACCTCACCTCTGACTTTATCTTCTTTACCCTGATTTCTTCATCTATTTAAGTTTATCCTGCTGTAGAAGCTGTATTTCTATAAGTCACCTCAAGTCTTTTTTTGGAATGAGGTTGAGTATATATACATATACTGGTATGCATTTTTAAAACGCTGAAAGTAGGTAACCAGCAGAAGGCTGGAGCTTAGGGTAATTTACCTATTGCCTTCAATACTTACATGTCATCAGCAAAGAAACAGCTTGCTTGCTTTTGCACCTTTTCCATCTCATCCTTTCTCCACCGGGAATACTGCTTTAGCATGTGCTTCCGGCCCAGGACCAGCAGCCGCAGATTCTGCTTGGATAGCTGAGAGACCACATCCAAGAGCTAAAAAACACAAAGCCAGCACCCAAGCAGGTCAAGGGAAGACTCTCAGATAAGTGGTGCAATTCTTCCAGCTGCTAACCTCATTGGTGAAGCGCTCTTTTCTGGTAAGAGGTAAGAAAAAAAATTCCTTAATTTCCCACCTTTGTAAGCCTGAGGAAAATGCTTCCTCATTACAAATTAATTTTTAACATCTGACCACTGATTAGGCTACATTGGATCCAATGGGATTTTCTAAGCACAGACTAGATTCGTTGATTTTAAAATGTGGTCCCTAGACATCACTGGGAGAGAGAGGCTCAAAGGGGCTGGGATTTTGCTCTTACACACCCCCAACCCTGTTTCAACCAATACAGCTCAACTTTTGTATATTTATATATTGATGTTTTCATTTGAATAAAGAGTTCTACTTCTTTTTAAAAAAGTCTGTAGCTGGCTGGACTAGATAGTGACTTTGCAACCAGTCTTTCCGTGTCATGACTCCACTGCTGAGACCGCTGCCTTTGACTGAAATCCCCTTTTCCTTCTGAAGATCTGTAAGTTTCCATCCTCTAGCTCACTTTCTAGTCTACCTTTCTTGTGCTTACTTGAACTCCTCAAAAGTCTAGACTTTGATTTTTAGCAAACCAAGTACTGTGGTGACCCTGTCTATATTTAATCTTTCATAAAGAAAAGCCCATAGCTTACTTTCAAGTACAACGTATTAAACTACGCCATAAATGGACATTACTAAATAAAACAAAAACAAATGAAAAAATTATATTACACAATAGTGTATCAGAAATAAAGAAGTTCTTTAAGTTACAAGAATTCCTGGGTCCTCAAAAATTACAAGTTGAAAGTCGGTGAAGAAATCCCTAATTTTCTTGTGTCTTGGTTGGAAATAGGTATTGATTTTAGTCTAGCTTCCCTTTACTCATAATTTTTTCCCCTGTAGATTTTCAGGATATTATTTCAAATTCTTTAATCAGTAATATTTCATTCAGTCAGTCACTTACAAAATATTGCTTTAGCACCTGTTATGTCCAATACACATGTAGACTCACTGGTAATCTAATAATGAATTAGAAATGACTGATTTTTAAAAATGATTGTTTAATGCTCTAGATTTATATTTGATTTTTTTGCCATCCTATTCCATTACAATTCTTATTATTTTAGTAAGGAGGGGTTGGTTTTATTATTTCTAATTATTAGTTCTGAAATTAAGACATTAAATGGACATAACTTGCCCACTAAATGGGAGCTAATATTCAAAACCAAACTCGTTGCCATTGAGTCAATTTTGACTCATAGCGACCCTATAGGACAGAGTAGAACTGCCCCATAGGATTTCCAAGGAGCGCCTGGTGGATTCGAACTGCCAACCTTTTGGTCAGCAGCAGAACTCTTAACCACTACACCACCAGGGTTTCCAGGGTAGAAATACCAAGACCAGCATGAGAACTTCAAGCCCAAAGCCTTTACAACTAGTAAAATATAGTTCTTTTCTTCAAAGCTAGGAATAGTGACTTCTGTATTCATTCAACAGTTGTTTCCCAGATCTTTCTATGTGTAAGGCATGTGATAGATATCACAGCTAACAAAACTTAAAAAGACTTGGTCCCTGCCTTTAGTGAAGGAGTATCTGATAATTTTCCTAGCCACCTATCAAGTCTAGGAAAATATACATGCTGGCTCTACATATACTGGATGGCTAATAAACATTTTCTGATTTGCTGAAGAATATGCCCAACTTCCATTTTTATCCATCACAAAAGTAGTTCATTATTGAAAACTTGAAAAATATAGACTAGAATATGAAAGAAACCACCCATAGCTCACCACCCAAAGATTGTTAATATGTATTTTTCAGTCTTTTTTATTCTATGCATTTTATATCATTTTATAAGCTATTATTTTAAAAGTTAGGTTAGTAATCAAAGGAAAACACCTACACTAAGAAAGTCTAATTTCATGGATTCAGACACCTCAGAAGACACTGAGAACACATCTCCTTCAGCATGTATTTACAACATTAATTCTTTAAAGCTATGCTGAGATTTCAGATTATTTTCAGTGAGCCCAGATACAATCTCAGATACAAAATGGTAACTAACTCATTAACTGAAATGATAATTACATTTTTTAATTTCCATAAGAATTCCCAGAAAGTTATTGTAAAAATACAAAATAAACAACTGAAACAAAAAACAATTTTTTGATATTGATTGCTTAAGTTTCTATGCAACTGGGAAGACATGGCTTAAAAGGAAATACAATTGGTTCTTCACAGCTATTGCCTTGTTCAGGACATGGCCTTGAGGTTACTAAAACTAAGATAAAAAAGGGTGCCCAAGAAAGAGCAGGAAAACCTTAGCTTGAACTACTCTGGGACGCCATCTTGTGGCTGAGAGGTTTCTACTAGTAGCAGCTCTCTGAAAAAAAAAAAAAAAAAGAAAAGAAAACAAAGGAGAATAAACAAAAGATACGAGAAAGAAAGAAGAGTGTACAGAAATAAAGGCACTCACATAAAATCCTGTGACAACCCAGCTATGAGCCCACTTCCTCTGGGCTAAATTTCAAGGCTGGATCCAATGGGTTTCAAAGTTTCAAGATACCCAGAATTGTAAAGAAACAGAAAATTCACCTTAATTCTACGTTAGATAAAAAATAAAACTGAAGAGGGACTTCCACTTCTAGAAAAATGGAATAGATGTACTCTCCCCTATTCCTCCCACTAAGCACAACTAAAAACCCTGGAAATTATACATAAAACAAACATAAAAAGACTTTGAAAGGTAGAGACAATAAGGCAGACTGGACCTTGGGACACAAGGAATGACATGGCAGTGCATTCCCTGGGTTTCCTTTTTTCCTCATATATCTCATACTAGAGCTGAAGAAGCCAGCAATCTAGAAATGCCATTGAGTGTGGATGAAAAAAGTCCCAACCAACAAAGCCTGCTCTCTCTAGCCAAAGGACCAGGAAAAAGACAGTCTAGCAAGACAGAAAGCATCTAGACAATAACTGCTCTATCCTAGCCAAATACCACAGAAAAAACTATGGCTCCACCTCCACTGATGCCAGCAAAAGCTAAGTGGGGAGCCTAGACTTCCACCCTCATGAGGCTGTAACAAGGTGCCTCAACACACCTGCCAAGGTGGTGGCACAGAAGGCCAAGTAGGGAACCATGCCTTTCAACACTGTTAGCTGAGAATGAACATGCCATCTGCCTACCATGGCGTCAGTGGGGAGTCTTGACTTCCTTTGCCACTGGCAGTAGCAAGGTGATCCACCCCCTCTCCCTGCTAGGGTAGTGTCAGAGGAAACCTAGTGGAGAGTCAGCACTTTTACTATTACCTAGTATTAACAAGGCCACCCCAGTGCAGTGTCAGCAGGGAATACACGAAGAGCCAGAACTCCCACCTTTGCCCAGAAGTAATAAGGATATTCCTCTAAGTTGTCAATGTAGGTCAAGTGGGAAATCTGGTCTTCTACCTCAACCTGGCAGTAATGAGGCAGTGCCTCCTCCTTCCCCTGCCACAGCATTATCAGAAAAAGCAAGTTAAAACAGATGGTTTAAATAAGATCCAGAGTCTCAAACCATAGTATGAAAATGTCCAAATTTCAATTGAAAATCACTGATTATAACAAGAACCAAGAACCAGGAGATGACAGAGATGTTAGAATTATCTGATAAATATTTGAAGTATCCATGATAAAATGTTTCAATGAGCAATTATGAACATGCTTAAAACGAATGAAAAAATAGAAAGGCTCAGGAAAGAAACAGAAAGTCTCAACAAAAAAATGGAAGATATAAAGAAGAACCAAGTGGAAATTTTAGAACTAAAACCATAATAACTAAACTAAAAGTGGATGGGCTCAACAGCAGAATGGAAAAGACAGAGGAAGGAATTAGTGAACTGGAAAACAGAACAATAAAAATTACCAATCTGAACAACAGGGAGAAAACAGACTGGAAAAAAAAATGAACAGAGCCTCAGTAACTTGTTGTACTATAACAAAAAAAAAAAAAAAGAAAAGAAAAGAAAAGAAAAAGATCTAATATTCATGCCATTAGAGTCCTGGAAGCAGAAGAGAAAAAACGGTGAGGCTGAAAATATCCTTGAAGAAATAATGGCTGGAAGCATCCCAACTTTGACAAGACTCAAAAAGCTGAGTGAACCACATATAAGATAAACCCAAAAGAAATCCACGCAAGGAAACATCATAATTAAACTTCTGAAAGCTAAAAACAAAAAAAAAATTTTTTGATCTAGAGTAAGGCAAAGAGTCCATAAAAGGAAACACTGATAAACTGGACTTTATCAAAATTAAAAATGTCTGCTCTGTGAAAGACCCCGTTAAGATGATAAAAAGACAAGCTTACAGACTGGGAGAAAATATTTGCAAATCAAATATTCAACATAGGATTAGTATCTAGAATAGATAAAGAACTCTTAACACTCAATAAAAAAGCAAACAATCTAATTAGAACATGAGCAAAAGACCCTTCACCAAAGATACACAGATGGCAAATAAGTACATGAAAAGAGGTCTAACATCATTAGTTATTAGGGAAATGAAAATTATAACCCAATTAGATTATCATGACACACCAAACAGAATGGCTAAAATAAAAAACAGTGACAATACCAAATGCTGGTGAGGGAGCAGAGAAACTGGATCACTCATATATTGCTGGTGGGAATTTGAAACAACATTTATATAACATTCTTGAAATGACAAAATTATGGAAATGGAGAGCAAATTAGTGGTTGTCAGGGTTACGGAGGGGTGAAGGCTGGAGGGAAGTGGGTGTGGCTGTAAAAGGGCAACATGAAGGATTCTTGTGGTGATGGAAATGTTCTGTGTCTTAACTATATCAATGTCAATCGTGATACTGTTATGTAAGATGTTACCACTGGGGGAAACTGGGTGAAGGATACACAGGATCTCCCTGTATTATTTCTTACAGCTGCACATCAATCTACAATTATCTCAAAATAACAACAAT